TCAGGGTATCTGCAGTACGTATCAGAGTGAGGAGAATGCAGTGCCCAAGGGACCATTATGTAGAAAGCAAATTTCCTCCTGCTGCAGATGATGACTACCTTTCTTGTAAAAGGGGCCTTGTCATCTCTATCTGTCCCCTTGGCACCCAGCTCTCATGGCACTTTCAGTTCCTCCACTCATTTGACCTCGGAGCTACTATGCTGTGAACATGTCAGGAGGGAACATGCAATCAATACTGGCCAACCCACTAACAGACTGAGCTATTATTACAGCAGGCAATGATGTGAGCAGCCACAAAAAGGAAAACAGATTTTTGGGCTCCTCATATGTCCGGAGATATCTGCACATCCTGTCCCGGGTTAACTGAAAACATGTGGTCAAGYGCTGTCAGGCTGGCTTGCAGCTACGGCATCAGCTAGCTCTCAAAGTGTCTCAATTCTCTATTTCCTTACTGCCTTTTGTGAATAAGCCTACTGAAATCTACCTCAGGAAATGGTGAGATACCGGCATGCCTAAACACATGCCTTCATGTCACTGAGGCTGCCGYTTCCCCTGTGGAGCTTTGCTGTTTTGGCGGCCTCCTCTCTCTGCCTCTCTCATTGCAGCATGGGGGCTACCAATCACCAGAAGACCCTCATCATTGCTTTTCTGAATTACTCCTATAACCCTCAAGCACATTGGATATTTAATATGTGTATTGTAAAGCTAACATAATGCTCAAACCAGACTCACTTTGTTCCTATGTGACATGGACACTAGGGTGCCATCTTAAACAGGCCTGGCCCACTAAGGTGAGAGTATTTGGGAAACTTAGAGTCTTAGGCATCCCCTTGCAAGTGGCTTTAGGTGGCTGAAGATGCTCAGGGTGGGTGGTTCGGCCAAGCCTGGCCTCTCAGCAGCATCATTAGCTGCTGTGGGGAGGGTCATGACTGATGCGAGGCAGCCGTGATAGCCCGGGCTCCTTCCAGCAGGGCCTCCCCATCTCCCACACTGAGGAGCGCCTGCATGCAGCCATGTGGCTAGCTCAGGAAGAGGCCCAGGCCATGCCCTGATGCCAGCAGCTCAGCAACCCCATCAGGATGACCCAGCTTCACCAACAAAGACCTGAGGTTCAAGTGACCAAGGCCTTGTACTATCCCCTGGGAGGAGAATGAGAATTGGACTTCATTCAGATCATTCCTTATCAACCCAAGACACTGGAGGAAACAAAACATAGCTAAAGTACTTTCATTTAATAACATGGAGTGCACTTTAGGTTATGAAATAGGAGTGGAGCCACTAGACCTTGTTGGAGGTGCTAACCCACCTCAGATCCCGGCAGGCGTGTACACTGCCCCAGAGGAGGGTGAGACAGGGCAGGTATTCAGCAACCTTCACCAGAAAGCCCTCCCACCTTACGCTTTCCATAAGGAGAGGTGGTATTTGCGCATGCAGTGTTTCTTGGGGGATGTTTTTCTTTCTGCCTTCTCATGTTTGCATCTGTGTAAATATTTAGCAGGCCCAGCGTCCTGTGGCACAGGGTTCCTCAGTTCAACCCTGTTCTCTGCGGAGAACTGCCTCCGGTTGTTTGCTTTGAATCTGCCACCTGCCAGTTTTATTTGATGTCCCTGAAGTTCTCATCCAAGGAGGAAAGGTGTACAATCATGGCCCATTTTATAATGAAGGGGCAGCATTTTGAGTCGCAATTGTCCAGGTCCCTGCTTCTTTTTACTTCAGTGGTGGAAGCTCCCAGACATTTCAAGGACACAGGCACTTATGTTTTTTCTTCACTTTTCCTAAACTTTACTGTGCAGAAATAGTAAAAAAATGCTTCTTCTCACTCATGCTTTCACAAATATATCCACTGTACAATATCCTTGTGTCACAGGTGCTGTACACACCTGCAAATGCACCTCTACACACAGCCTCATTTAGCCATCTCACCTGGGCTGACAACTCTGGCTTTAGAAGCACTTCTGATTTTGCCTGTTTTCCAGATAGGTCAAAATTCAGCTCTCCATTGGAAAYAGGGTGATAGATGTGTTTTCTAAGCATCATCATGTTTTCTAGCACCCTGATGGTGAGTGTCCTGCAGATGGGCTTCACATCCAGACTTTTCAAAGGGCCATGTGGGCACAGAGCACCTTACTTGTGGGCACCTGTAGGAGTACGGAGATTTCCACATGTTCAAATGAAACATACATACACATCATATGTGCGTGTGTGTATGTGTGTGTGTGTGTGTATGCGTGTACATATATATACATACATACATGAAAGTGTTTGGACAATGCAAGAAGAACTGATCTCGTATTCTTACCTAGAAAGGGACTGTTAGAGGCTCAAACCATCCATTTTACCATTTCTCTGGACTAAGTTCTCTCTCTTTTTTTTTTATTCAGTAGCAGTAGCAACACAATTAATTTACTTTACTTGAAGAACAGCATCAACCTAAGCAGGCCCACCTAAATCTCAGAGAAGCCATGGCCTTCAAACAACTGCCAGTCCCCATTCGCTTTCCTGCAGGTGGTTAACTCAGACAAGTTCAGAGCTTCTGGGTTGTACCTTGGCACAATAACCCTGCTTTCTTTGCAGGGTTTGTTTTCTGTGCTGAAGGGAAACACCTGCATGTCTCCAGTGAGATCAGCTGAGAATAGAGAAGCTTCTAAAATTCTCAGCTTAGAAATTATAGACTCCTCCTCCAGCCAAGTCATAACCCAAACCTGGCAGGAGGACTCACCCTCCATAGAAGAGCGCCAGTGACTCAGAGGCCCTGGAAAGCTTTATGCAGGGCTGACCACGCTCATGGTGCTGTGCTCACACCACAGCCCTCACCCCTGCCCGTGCCAGCTATGCAGGGAGTGTTTACACATGGTATCCTGGAAGCCACAGAGGCAAAAACCACTGTACAAATGTACACTAGAGGAAGCGAAGAGGCATAGGGGATAGAGCAATATGTAGCCTTTAGGAGCCCAAAGCTCTGGTTTCGCTGGATTTYGGAATAGTCTTTCACAAATCCTATTCCCATGCCCAAGTCTGGYATCCAAAGATGATGTCCTTAACCTCCTCTGTAAGGCACACTAGTAACTATAGCTCAAGACTACTGCATAAGGCCACAGAGTCACAGAATGGTTAAGGTTGGAATGGACCTCTAAAGATCTTCTAGTCCAACTCCCTGCTCCAGCAGGGACACGTAGGGCTCATGGCACAGGTTGGTGTCAAGGCAGTTTTTGAAGTTCTCTGAAGAAGGAGACTCCATAGCCTCCCTGGGCAGCCTGTTCCAGGGCTCTGTCACCCTCACAGTAAAGTTCTTCCTCATATGGAGAAGAAACGTCTTGTGTCTCAATTTATACCCATTACCCCTTGTCCGGTCATTGGCCACCACTGAGAAGAGTCTGGCCCCATGACTGTTTTCTTTTAGTTTCAGAGGTGTCACTATCAAGGCTTACCCCCATTACACACCATTAAGAACTGCTATGGTTTTGTGGTTAACTCAGAGGCTTAGCTTGCAAGGAGACATGAGGGGATGTAAATCTAATTTAATGCAAGCACATGCCAGAGGCCTAGACTAAGCTCTTGGAGCATTAAAAATAGCCCTTTGCCCCACCAGCTCCCAGAGGCCAATTAGCATGACAGTRCACAGAAAGTGCAGAGCTTTACACCAGCTTTCTGCTGCTGTGCCTGGGGTACTATGGCTTCACAAGACAGGTGGCTATATATGCRATGTGGTTGATAAAAGGTCAACACTTCCTGTTCTATGCATGCMTATATTTATAAACACACTTGATCTGACAGAAGTCTACAGATGATCAGTGTTGCAGGCCACTGTGTTTTTCAACCACATTCAGGGCCCCTAAACCTGGATGAACTGGCTGTTTTAGAAGAAACATCACTGAGAAAGGCAGTTCTGCTTGAGAGATACAAGTAGAGAGAGCTTGCTGGGAGCCCTTAAGTGCACCTTACAACCCTCGGAAAGTGGGCCAAGGCCAATTAACAACAAGCTGCAGCTGACAGGAAGGRGAGGATTTCAAGATAAGAGGGATGGCATAAAGCCTAGAGGAGCTAGGAACCAGGAGGGAAGGATAGAAAAGTTCTGCTAGGAATAAGTTTAAGTAGGACTGTATTTCTTTGAGCTGGGGTGGGGGGAGAAGGTTGGAAATGGAGACAGGTCTTTAGGTAAATCTTTTGAGATGCTGGTTAAGATAACAAGCTGGGAATGTGAAGAAGAGATAAATTAGACAAGGGAGAAAGCAAAGAGAGGAGACCGCAGACTGCAAACATCTGAGATGGGTTTTTTGGAGCAAGATCCAGAGGAAGGGGTGAGCTACTGGCCACTAAGGAGAGCAGCATGAGGGCTCTAGCCCTAAGGAAAAGGATTACTGAAAAATTGGTGGAAGAGGTGTAAGGCTCATTAAAACTAAAACTATGAACCAAAGACCAGTTGTGTGGTCACTTGCCCTTTGGTTTGGAGAACTGAGCCCTCCAGCAGGTCACATTCACTCTGACCATGCAATAGGAAGGTCACTTAAAAGCTGAAGTAGCTTATGGGAGGCCATACCAGTGAAGGCCAATATATAACACCATACTTATGGGGTTATCTATGCTCCCTGATAGGTTTTTTTTTTTTTTTTAAGCCAGTCTCTTGCTGGCATAGCTTGTGATCTTGGCGTGCTTGGGATTGGCAGTGCCCTGTCATAGCTTGCCACAGTCCATGCCCTCCTCTGTCCCCACCCACCAACACCACAAAGGTGACAAATGCATGGGACTCTGCAGAGGTGTGAATATAGCAGCTGTTACACTTTATTTCATTATTTATTTTTCCTTCTGATTTCAAAAGAAAAGACAGAGAGAAAAGTTACAAAAGTACTAGAAGGCAACAATATTGGCAGGACACCTCTGTTCCCTGCTCCCACCTTCTGGGCCCCCTCTGGGAAAGGCAGCCTACAGCACCTATGGGCTGGCAGCAACAGGTCTCCTGGGCAAAGCACCTCTGCAGCTCCCTCTTCAGCGGCACTGGCTGAAGCCTGAGAGCACCAGCAAGAGGCTGGTTGCTGTCAYTCGAGCCATCTCACAAGATGGGTACCAGCAGCTGTCCCTTCTCTTCAGCACAAAGGTTTGGTCCACGGAGGTAACAGCTCCTGTCCTGCAGTGGTCAGTTTGATCTGGCAGCAGTTAAAAAGCTGAGGTGTGTCATCAAAATGAGATAAGCAGAGTCTCTACAGGGGCGGGAGAAAGGAATCAGCTCTGTTTTGGAGGAAGTGAATTCTGCAAGGACTCTCAGAGGCTTTGCCAGAGGCACCTACCACCAAACCAGAGCAGCCCCTGAGGCGGTGCTGGTGCAGGGCATGCACAGCTGTGAGGATCTGTAGCCACAGGGCAGGCAGGGTCGGGGCAGCATCAGGACTGCATGTGTCCCCTCACTGCCTTGCCCCTCAGCTCCGCTTGTGTCATGGAAGGAGTGGTGGCAGGGGTGAGTGACAGCTTGCCTGAAGGGAGCGAGCAGGGCCGGGCTGGGGATTCGGCTTCCCAGGCCTGTACGTCTTTGGGCCTTTCCCCGAGGGTCTCGATGAAGGGCCCAGAAAGTACCAGATACAAATGTCTGTGTGACTGCCCTGCTAGGAGCTGGAGTGACGGCTGGTCTCATCCAAAGACTGGCATCAAAGACCTGCACAGCGGAGCATATTTAAAAATAAAATTGATTCCTATTACTCACAGTTTCTCCCCTTGATTCAGACAAGCRGTAAGCTAGTTGCTACCCCCTGTACCCAGCCAGATACAGGCTCACAGTGGGGAATGCCTAGAGGAAGAGACTACTGTCTTCACCGGGGACTGGCAACAAGGACTGATCAGGGGCAGCAGGGGGAAATGCCTCGTTCCTCTGCCTCACCAGGAGAGCTGAGAACTTCTCCCACTCACTGCTGCCCTGTAGTACCAAGCGTGCATGTGTCTCAAGGCCAGAACCCAATCAAATTCCAGCGGGGCCTAGCATGGTCCTAACAGCTCTAGGACTGTGTCTATGAGGAAAGCGGCCCGCAGCACCATCCAAATTTTCCTTGTGCTTCTTTTATCAACAGATGTCTACAGGTCCGCTTCAAGTCAGCGACTCCATTCTCCCACTGCATGCTACATCTCCCCATGCTTGCTCCAGTGCGGGTTGATCTGAGTTTAACAGCCAGTATAACACAGGGGTAAAAGGCCCTCCAGATACTTTCATTTTGACTGAGTCTGGTGATGCCAGCTACAATCACCATCATCTATGGACAGCAGGGTTTATGGATAATGTTATGGAAAAGTATTCCATATCCTAGAAGAGCCAGCCTCAGCGGAGATGAGACCCAAAAGCACACCGTCACCCCCACTCATTCTCACTGATATTGCTGTGGAAGGACTGAAGATGGGTGCTGTGTTTCCTTGGGTAGTCGAATGTACAGCCTTCATTTGCTTGTGCCTCTCATTTCAATCCATTTTTAGATGAGATCAGTGAGTTGTCAGCACACCAACTGGGACATACACCTTCAGATCTGCCAGTTACCCTCTCCACCTCCATCTCCCAGTGTCTCCCACTCAAGAGAGCTTAAAGTGAATGCAATTTTAGCAATCTGAAAGAGGAGCCCTCCTTGCTTTCCAAGCTGACCTGTCTAACATCTGTCTGCAATCCTGAGATCATTTTTAAGTAGAAAGGTTTGGTCTATAGCAAACCATTGTAGGCCACTGTAGGCTCCTGGGAAACCAACTGGACTTGCTTTCACAACCTGACTCCTTATCACTCCTGCCATGTAGGCCACGATAGCCACCGGACCTCCCAGGAATATCTTCAACTAYCACATCCACATGTCATTGCCTTGATGGCCCCTGTGTGGTTGGTGAACTTAACAAGCTCTTTTTGCCCTGAAAGACAAATCTCTCCATTTGCCACCACACAGATGTGGCGATAGTAGGAAACCAGGCACTGCTGCAGAGCTGTTTCCTGCTGCCAGAAAGGTTGTATTGCAAAGACACTCCACAGTCCCTTTCTCCCCCCACCCATCCCCTCAGACATCACTCCCTTCCCCTTCTCCCTGCCAGGCAGGCAGCTGGTTGACAGTTCCTGAGGTTTTTGGAGAAACTCCTTCAGTAGGCACATGACGGTTCTTCCACTGGAGCTATCGGGCTCAGCGGCTTCAAGGTGCTGAGGGAACGGAAGGCAAAGGTGGACGGATCGTACACAAAGTGGGGTGGTGGGCGGCCTCCATTGATGCTCTGCCAAGGAACACAAAGAACAAGTCAGTGCTCACAGAAGCTGCCATCACTGAAGTTGTTACTTCAGTATCCTGACACCCCACTCTCTGGCACAGTCACACTCCTTGAATGTGTGATCATCCACACATCCATTTTGTACTTGCAGCAATAGCACTAGCATAAGCAATTAAGTGCTTTCCTCATTGCCCTGCTCCTACGCTTCTCAAGAAAAGCTTAGCACCTCCTTCAAGACTGAGGTCCCATGGGTCCCAGTTAACCATGATCCATGGCTGCCCATTGCCACTCAGACATGTGAAACCGGATGAGGACAGACACTGATCCATTTGGAGTCTTAGAGCCACAACAGTGGAGCTGTCAGAGGTGTCACAAGGAACAGCTAAATTCACTTTCACTTGGCCTCAAAGTAGGATTTACTATACTTTAATAGGGAGACAAATCAGGTTGCCTCGAATGACTCATTCTTCGACTCCTACATTTTGATGACTGTCTAATACGGATTTAGAAATCACCTTTTCTCAATCTTATAGTCCCCAACACACTGAAACTCTACAGAATTTTGGCTGCCATCTCCAGTATGGGATTCATCATTGCTGCTTCTCCCATTTTATCTACTGTCTCATTATCTGATTTTATTTTCCCTTTAATGAATTGTATTTTCTGCTTAAATACTTTCACTTCTAATCCACTTACAGTCTCTCTGATCACTCTAAACTGTAATGCACAACCAGAATTTTATTTCCTGAAGTCACTTCAAATCTAGAGTGTCTGAGTGTTTTTGGGGGGAAGCTCCTCATTGGCAGGCTCAATTTTCAGGAGCTCTGGAGCTCTTCCAGCTCCTGTGGAAAACAGCCAAGGGGCCACATGCTTAACACTTCTGGACATCAGGCCTTCTCTAGGTTTAGGTCTAGAAGGAGACACCCAAGCCAGCCCTCCTAATGATGCTGCAGTTGCCATCCACACCTCCTGCAAGGGAATTCCCCTGAATGAGGATGGTTTACAAATAAAGGAAAAATAAATGAACAGAAAAATCCCCAAATAGTCCTGGCTGCAATGTGGGATCTATACACATGTGCGACCTACAACAGTTCATATTATCTGCAAAGCTGTGGGATAATGTGTCATGTTATAGCCAATATATTCCCCACACGGTGAGGAACAGCTCTGACACGTTTGCAGTCTGCCTGAAGGCTCCACAGTCTGGTTTGCACCATGCTATCCAAGTTCATTCTATTTCCTCTTCCTCCTCCCTGTCCCCAGGGCATGGTCAGAACAAATTCAGAGTGGGAAGGACAGAAATACCCATGTAGCCATGTCATGACAGGTTAGAAAAGCTGTTCTCCACTAGGCCATGTCGGGATCTATGCATCCACTGCAGCATGAATTATGAGGCCAAAGAAACAACTGCATTCCCATTGCATAGGAAATGTTTTCCATTTACCTCTTGGAGACTTTATTTTCTTTTTTGCCTTTGACAAACAGAAGCACCAGCAGAACTGCTGCCCATGAACACACTCTGGCCTACTGGCCAGAGGTCCCACTGGTCTCCTGGCCAACAGGGGACTTTTATCCCACTCCTGCCCAGACCATCTCGGAGTTCACTGTCGAGCGATAGGTGCAAGCTACCAAACATCACATGCTGGGTAGCTCAGCAGCCCAGAAACCTATGCAGACGCTTCCCCACCTCATACTGCTCCCAGCTCGGCCTGGAAGGACTTTGCATTGTTTTCATGGATGGAAAAGGGGAGCTGAACTGCTCTCACTGGCCTCTTAGATGTCTGCTCTTAGATGTCTCCCTGTTGCCTCTTCTAGGTCTTCCCTGGGAACATGCCCAGACTGCATGAAGGGACCTTTTCTCAAGAATTATCAACTCTGCTGTCTCCTCCAAGAATGACAATCATTTTGACGCTGTTAGATCTGACAAGGTGAGATCTAACATAGAGCTACAACCACATATCAGCCTTTTGATGCCACCTGCCTGTACGCTGGCTGGATTTTAACTTGTCATCACAGGACAAGCACATACACGTTGTTCCAGAAGGCTGCCCAAACGGTCAGGCTCAGCCAGTCAGGCCAAATTAGAGAGAACTATGAGAGCATCAAAGCCAGGCCCCAGATGCTGCAGCAGGATCTGGAAGCTTGTACCTCTGTGATCTTGGTCATGGTTTGGCCCCACAAAACAGCTTTACTTTTAAAAAGGGCCTCATTAAAAGCTAGTGTGGGCAGAATATTGCTGCCTGGTTGATCCTTCCTCTTAAAATTAAGATGGGCACTTGAGAATGGAAAATGCCAACATGGTGCTTGGCATCAGCTGTGCCTAGAGTTCTGGCCAGCAAATCATGCCCTGCTACATCCCCCTGACACCTTGGCCAACAGCACAAGAAACAAGAGAGGCAGATTTAAGGGCCTTTACTCAATAGCCACCTGCTGTGGGGTTATATATGGTGTGTGCTCTGGCAAGCCTCAGAGCTGGAGGGTAACGTAGCAACCCCTATTCAGAGCTAAGGGGCAGAATAAATCAGCACATTTGTCCTTCTCCAGAACAGAGAAGGTTCCCTGTCAGTGCCAAGAGGGAAAGGGAACAAAGAACCTGGCAGTCGCCCCCATTTTGAAATGCCAGACAGGATTAAGGCAGGCAGCTGAATCAGTTGATTTCTGGCAGATGGAGAAGAGGCTGAGGAAAGAGGGGTCCTGAGGAAGCATGAAAGTCACCCACAAAGCTCACCAGGCTTTGGGTAGCTAAGAGCCTTGAGAACATTCTCTGTCTCAGGCTAATGTGTGGGGCAGTGTCTTCCCAGGACACAGCAAGGGAGAACAACAGAGGACAAAGTAAAGGACAGGGACATGAGAAAGCACAGGAAGGTGAAGGGAGCTTCTCAGACAGTTGGACAGCTGCAAGTACTGCTTCACACTGCACCCGATGCTATCTCCTCACTGTGGCAACCCCCAGGTTACAGCAAGACGATGTCTTTCAACAGCCCAACCACTACAGTAACAGCCGAAGGCACAACAGCCCTCTGTGCAACTACGGGTATAGGGGGCGGTAACACAGCCGCCCTTGTGAGACCTGCCTGATTGATCTGCTGCCATTAATAATCTTGGAGAAGGTATAAGACAGACCCCTCAAGATAGCCAGGACAGCGATCGGAGTAGAGGCCTTGCCGGAAGGAAGGAAGAGCCCCAGAACCCCAGCACCAAATCATTGAGTCTCTTCTTGCAGAAATACATCTTTTATTTGGAGCTCATATCCTGCTCTAGGGATGACCAGCCCTGATCTGGCTTAGTCCATGACACCATTTGGAATCACAGCATGTGGTGGTCTGGCTCTGATGAGTAGCGCAAGGCAAAGCTCTGTGGATTTGTTCCCAGAAAGATGAGAGCTAGGGAAGGCTGCCAAAGAGGCAAACACATTCCTCCCACCCTGTTGCTTGGGCCAACTGCCTCCCCGTAGTCAGGGAAAGTGTCCTAGCCAGCCTGTCCTCCCCCTTGGGCAAGCAGGAGCAGCCCGCGATGCTGGGACATGAGTTTTACTAAGGAAGGCTGTTTGAGCTGCTCCTGCCACAGCAGGCCTCTGGAGAGCTTTCCCCAAACCTGCCTGACAGCCCCTGCTGAGCAACCCCAGGCCAGTTGTCAGAGTCTCTCCTCAGAGAGCAAACACTACACACTTGACATTAAAGGCCAGTGTGTTCACTCTAATGGCATTCAGGCAGCTGGGTAACTCACACAAAATGGAGCCTAATATGGGGCCTGCGCTGATGGCAATCATTAACCAGAGCCCTCAATTTGTTAAGCAATGTATTTACACAGCTGGAGAATGGCCTGGGATACAACTCTTGGCTGCTGGCAGGAGGGCACACATGCTTGAATGTGTGCTCCATGAAACACACTCATGTTCACTTGCACATGCTTCTGTGCCCATGCCTACCTGCTCTTGCAGGCCTCTCCCTGGCACACAGGAACGTGCCCGGTTACTTGTGATGCTCTCCTCCGTGCACCCGCCAGCCACATCCTGACTTCAGGATTACCAGGCAGACACGAATCCTGTCCACTCACACCTTAATCCCATCCAAGCGGGGCCATGGATGGGGCTGAGCTCTGCCAGCACAGAGGGCACAGCTGAAGAGAGCACAGCTTATCGCTTGCTTGTACAACTGCCTGGAGCAGGAAATTAGTTTCAGAACCTGCAGATACTTGGATCACCTCATTGCACACTCTGTTTGAGTTCAATTAGCTCCTAAAAGTGCTAGTTTGTGTTACCCACATCACAGGTAACTATGCACAGGTAGCCTCAGTCACAGATGCACACAGGCAGGCACACGTTCTCTCCTTCATCCCACACACGCACTCTCACAGAACTGTACTGTAGTCACCAACTGTATTATCACCGTTAATACAGGTGGTAAACAAGCAACCAGGTTTGAAACATATCTATCTAACTACATTAATGAAGAAGATGGTACAGATGGTGAATGGATCCAACTGCCCCAAAGAAAAGCACAGAGAATAAATAATGTGGAATTAAAAGAGAGCTTCAATCTTCAATGATCTTAGCAATTCTGAGAAAACAGAATATGCCCCATAAATCCATTTATAATGTAACAGTAGATTTCAGCATTGAAAAACACATAGAAAGTTGATAAACAGGTAAAGAATAAATTTACTAATGTAAGCCCACATTTGTTCTTAAAATACCCCTACCTTATCCTTGTGAAGTCTGGGAAAATACCCAAGATGCAGATTGTGAAATAACTTAATTTTGGACTCACGACTCCACAGAAACACAGTTCTCTTCTTTGGATGACGAGAAGGCAAGCGCAGCTCCGAGCTGTGGGAACGCCAGTCCCCAAAGGAGTGGCGGGAAAGAAGTTACCTCACACAACAATGTGCTACAAGGGAATAGTGTGTTTACAAGGGAATAGTGTGTTAAGGGTGACACGAAACCAAGCTCTGCTTAATGCTCTTTGGTCTTCTTTCACAAGAGGGAGGGTGTCAGCTCTAGTATC